TGAAATATCTAAATTTCAGATATTAGTAATTAGTTTCTTTGTAGTCAGTCCTTTTACAGAGTATTTTAATGCATAACATAGAATATTCCCTTGTAGATATTTAGATTGCATTGTTGCCATCAAACATGCCTTTTTGCCCAAGGTTCATGAAGGAGCAAAGTTGAATTAGTCTTTCAGCTGTGCTGGACCACATCCTCCATCACTGCAAGGCAATATGATATGGGATTGTAGTCCAACAAATATGGAGGGTATCCACTTAGGTAAGACAACCTTATACAATATACAATCTTAGGCATTACCAACAGATGTCTTGTAGTAATAGCTTCCTTGAAATGTAATAATATAAAGCCAGTGTGTGATACGCCATCACAACAATGACAGGATGCTGCTGCAAGTCATTAGTTTGGATAGTCTCTTAAGTATGGGTACACCCTTGATCTAACTTCTACATTTTGGAAAAGTTGTCTATAAATGCTGCTGCTGAGTGAGTCTTCATTTTTCTGCTAGGTGTGTAGTAAGTTCTTAAGCAGGATTAAGCGTCAGAACAGACTGAAAAAATATTATCTGGAATTAAAACTGTCAGTTCATAATATTGTATATATTGGTGTAGTTGTTTAAAGCTACTCTAGATCAAAATCATTCTGACTCTTGGAAATATGTCAATCAAAATTAACTTGTTTGATGAGAGAAAGATCAGCAACTACATTTATCAGTGACTGGAAACCCCTTATGGCCTTTTTGCTAAAAAAAAAAAAGAGAAAAATGAACTTGTGATTTATGGGTTTGAGCATTAGAAAGGATAGCTTATGGAAAGAAGGAAATTATGATGTATTTAGCAAAGATAAATATTCAGGGGCAAAAACTACTATCAAAAGTTGTCAAATGTCCAGGCTGCCCAATAGAGATTCCCCCTCTCCTGATGATCCAGCACAAGCCAGTATCCAGGTTCCATGCTCTTTGTATTTGTTTGTACATACCTTAAGCCATGTTTAACTGTGGTTGCTGAATAAACTACAATTAATTGGTGTTACCCCAAGCCATAAAAATAATAATTTACACAAACATGATAAAAAATGGTTGAATTCACAAAACATGCTAAATGCAAACTAAACCCACCACAATGGGGCTTAGCCTTTCTTCTTGGCCATGACCACTGCTGCAACATTAGGAGCCCAAGTTGGAAGCATTATAGAAACTTGTGATCAATCAGCTCAGTTACAGTTCCTACAAGTCTGAATTTAAAACTTATATTTTAAAGATCATCTAGAGAGCGATCACTGCTCTTTTCCAAGCATGTACGATCGATCGATCGATAGACAGACAAATAGCCTCATCCATGTATGGTTTGTTCTAGTAGCCCACTTAACATCAGATTGTCCTGGTTCCCCAACATCTGGCATGGACCTTGTTAATCTGGGTGATCTCCAAGCTGGCATGACTCTCTTAGTTTGTGTCATTCTCATATTCAAGGTAGGCAGGTGAAGCATTAGGAAGTCTTTGCCCAAGGGCCCCTACTGGTAAGGTAGGTACCAGTCGGGATTTGAATCCCAGTCTCCCACATCAAAGGGTGATGCTCTAACCATTACACTATCCAGCAGCTAGATAGCATTAAATATATAAATGGATATAAACCAGAGGGTCAACATTCAAATCCAACAGCACCCAGAATGCAGAGAAGCTACAAAAGCTGAAAACTGCTTCTGTCAGGATGCGGACAACACCACCACCCAGTCTGTCTCTTTAAGATAACTGGGTGTTAGTTTTTCATATGGAGTTCTAAGGAACCTGCGTCAGCATATAGGGAAGAAGCAAGTAATCATCCCATACAAAGAAGAAAAACCCTTTCCAGCTATATTTGTGTGATAGGCAAATTCCTAAGCTGGCCCAGCCAGTGTGGAAGGGAGATAATTTCTCCAGGAGAAAATGCTCTGACAGTAGAAACATCAGGCAAGTATTAATTTCCTTCCTCTGTTTTATGTCTTCATTTATATAACTATATCCTACACTGCTTGCCATAAACATTACAGCATCATAAGACCAAAATGCAACAGCACCGAGTAACAGGGTCAGCTGTTAAAATCGAATCTTGAAAAGTCCTCCTCTTAAAGAGCAGTCTGAGCTGTAGTCAAAGTTGGTGTGCATTTTATTTTGGCCAGATTAGGAGGAGGGAAGCATTCCAGAAGATGGAAACCACAAGTATTTCTATTGCAAGAGCTGGTCGAAAATTCTATGCTGGTCGAAGCTCAAGGAAATCAACGTTTTAAACACTTGGAAGGCATCCATTAGCCTGCAACTGATGCAGCAGATGAAGAGTAACCAAAAGGGTTTCTGATTATGATTGCCATGACCACCCATGGGAAGAAGTGTTCCTTGCTCATTCACACACACACACTCCCTTTGCCCTCCTCAAATGCTTAGAATTGTTTCATGTTGTGCAAGATAGGGTTCCTTGGTCATTGACTTCTGCTCATCACATACAATTGCCAATTTCAGCTAATATGGGAGTAGAGTGGAAGATGCTGCTTGTTTCTTAACTCAGCTGAATTGGGTAGCTCTTCCAGATGGGGATTCCTGATACGCAAAGTACTGCCCAGTGCTTGCTGCAAAGATGGCTTGTTGAGGTTGATCTTGGCATTTGTCCAACAGAGGCTGATGCCTAAGCAGAAATCTCTAGAGGACAAAGAGACTCAACAAAGGACCAACCCATCATTCTATCTGATTAACTTGAAGCATTTTTCAGAAAAGGTCACTTTAATCATTAGAGTTAATGCATGCCTCTAATTTGAAACTGTAATGAAGGAAGGCCTTGAAATAACCTCTAGCTCAACCAAATTAACACTTACTTGCAGAAGTTCAGTGTAAA